AATGGCGTCTCTAATAGGAAAAATAGGAGCCTTATCATAACTGAGTGTTGCATTAATGTAGTCAACCTGTGCCACAGTAGATTCTCAGCCCTTGGTATTTACTTAGCATGTTTCAGAACCTCCGCAGGTGAAATATTTTAGAGCCCATTTAAATATTACGCTATTTCATGAATCACTCATATATTTCTCAGGTTTTTCCCCTTTCATTCACTGGTGTGCAATTTCTGAGAAATGCRGGGTCCTCAAATCCCAGCTGAATAATATTTGTTTAGCATTTGGAATGAAAGCAGCTTGATGAACAGACGCTTTCCTGCAGAACATTTGTGCCTCTGTGTGACTACAGGCATCGCAGTCCCCCAACTAGTCTCTGCGCGGTGTTAGCTTTGCATGGTGATGACAAGACACACTGGTAATGACAATAGGTCATGAGATGCCCATTTGTTCAGCCTCTCCTGCTGGAAATAAAGTAGAAGAACGTCTTTTAAATATGGGGATGGTGATAAAAAAGCGAAAGGGAGCCTAGGGAGAAAACAGAGATAAATATCCYAATACTGTTGGAAGTCACATAGATAATAACAAAGTAGTATTTTTTGTAACCTTTTCCAAAATTAAACATAGATTTACTGTCTGATAATAATAGCTGAATGATTTACTTGCRTTTATAGCTTTCCAGCTCTCTTTGTTTATTCTTTTCAGATTTGCATTTTTCTATTTTATTTAATATTGTTAGAGCATTCATAAAGGCTGCATTCATCTATCCCCAGGTTAAGAGAGGGGACTGCCAAGCCAGCTTTTYACTCTTCCTGTTTTCCTGGCATTACCACATTAGGAGCAGCCCATCCACATTAGGAGCAGAATAAGGGTCACCTCAGTTTCCACATTTACTTGGTTTTGGTCTCTGCAGTCGCTAGCTGCTAGCAGGGCTAGTTGCATAAAGACAGACAGGGTGAGATACTTTGAAGGTTGCAGTCTGTCCTTTGTAAGGTAGACAAATAGTCATCTTGACTGATGAATAACTGATGAGGCCAGTCTTAATATTGACTGTTTACTTTCACATGAGGAACCTAGAAAGATGGTCTTTATTTTTATATATTTTAACTTGATGTGTGTCTGTGGATGTGTTTAGAGTAGCCATAGATTAGATAGATGGGGGAAGTCCAAGGAAATACATCACTTCAAACATGGATAAATGTCCAGACACAGTTACAGAATACCAGAGAGACTGATAAAAATCTTTTTCTCTTTCCTKTCATTTCTTTTCTCATCTTTTTCCTGAAGCTTCTTTTTGCTTGTCCCTTCGTCACKGTTATTATTTGCATTCTGCTAACATGTGAAGAGGCACAGTCTGAGGGGCTGCTGTAGCAGGTGATGTTTGAACAGATGTTTGATGTTTGATCCCATACTGTTAAGGACTGTAGGATTAACAATTATGTGGCTAAGATTGCAGAGAAGATGCTAGAAGATCGTTCCTGCCCTAAATTTCTTAAAAGACGAGAAACTAAGAGAAATGCAGGAAATAATAATTTTTAAAAGTAACAATTGTTACTGTATACTTTTTCCTTAACATCTCATTTTTATGAAAATACTTAAATCTTTCCTTTTCTTGTTGCTGATCAGATTCTTTTCTCTACTTTCTAGAGAACAGTTTCTTTTGGCATAAAAAAAAATATTTTATATTACTGTAAAGGAAGCTGTAACATTATTAGATTCATGTTGTGCTGTTCTTTGGCCTTGTATTGTCCCTAGACAAGACACTGTAGTCCTGAACCCAGCTTCCCCGGAGCAATTACAGGATGAATATCTACAGAATATGATGATTCTCTTTCAGTCTGCTTTTAATTTTAAATCATCTAGGGCACGGCAAGATCAGCAAATGTAAAGGATCTAGGAAGCGAGGCAGTCCATACCCTCAGAAGCTCAAAGCTCAATTCAAGGATAGCCCAAGCCTTGATGCCAAAGAGTAGGTTTCTTTGCCAACTCAGCCATTAGGGCAGCCAAATCATACTGCCTTTGCAATAATTTTGAATCCTGACCAAATGCCTAATTTTGAAAATCAAGTCCTCCTTATGTGATGGCAATATGAGCAGTAAGTAGCAGATAGGCTGTTAGTCAACACAGAGACACAGTTGTTTTAATTACTAACTTCCCTATTTCTACTCTTCTTTAGTAGTACACTTCTTATCCATTATTTTAACTATTACTCATTAGAYTTTTCTGAAAACATTTTCAGGAAGAATGATAACAATTCCTTTTTACAGTTTTACATATATCTTTTCTTTAAAAACTTAACAGTACTTTCTCTGTGTCTCTGTCRTTGTCGCCACTATCTCAATAAAAAATAAACCCTGAGTTTGTGAAACCTGTTGAATTTTTCATGCAAGGCAGTAAGTGATTTACATATCTGATTGACATGATGAAGTGCCTAAGAACTGTTGTGCAGTCTGAGAGCTTGTTCTTATGTGTTTTAACTTGCAGGAATGTGCTGTGCTTTTTTATTTTATTAGGGCTTCATTTCTAAGCTAGAAAGGTACTGAGAATTTTTGGCTCCCCACCTAGTGTCATATGCTAGCAGAACTATTTCCCTATTATGCTTTTATGTACAATATAATTCTGTAGTTTTGAGATAATTAAAAGAACAAAAAAACTATATTACCTCTACGTATTTGCAGAAATTTATTTTGCGGATACTTTTGTGATGGCCTCTTGGTCAACTGGCAGATACTGCCTCGGAGATCAAGCACAAAGAACGCAACCTCTCTTGGGCTTCTTTTTTAAATCCTTCAAGTAGGGACTTGYTTATAGCAGATGCAGCCAGAGCTTCTTGGCCTTCTTGAGGCATTTGTAATTTACTACCCTAAGTAAGAATTGTCTTCTAACAAAAACTTTCTCTGAAAACAGATAATTTATGCTTTCCTTTTTTTTTTCTGACATTCTGTTGAAATTATATCCAAATTAAAAAGCGAGCCTATAATCCTGATACTAGCATAGGTATTCTTTGCCTGCAGTAGAACTGAAAGATCAGGCCTGGCTTGTGTTGGAAGTGCTAAAGACAAACTCCATTGCCAAAATGAATTAGTGTCTTTGGGAAGGTAAAAGATGGAAGATCATGATATGCCCTCTCTTTTCCTTCACTGCAAGTCGAGTAGCTGAATAATATATGACCACTTCGGTGTCAATAATCATTCTCATTTTTTAATTTGTCAGCAACTTTGTAATTGCCAACATACTCATTTCAAATTTTATAGTACTTTTTAAAAGATGGAGTGAACGTTAAATGAAATATTTGTTCTTTCTTAAATTATATAGTCTTGCAGCACTGAATAAATGGCTCAGCGTTGAGTTACTATGTTTGTAACTTATTATAGTTTGTAAATAAATGTATTCTCTCTAAGAAGATGATACCTGTGAAATGGATGTTCCAGCTCTTTTGACATCAATGAATGGAGCCTCATTATCCATAAGCACCTCTGAATCGGTCCCCTCCCCAGATCCAAATCTTACATCACTCAACAGAACTCCTACTTTCTTTTGCAACAAAACGCTCACCACAGTAGTTGCTGTCTGTATGTACTGAACACCTGTAGAATGGTGCTTAGAGCAGTATTAAAATAGTTTTGCATCTTACATTTGCCACAAACCTGTCTTCTTTTATGTGCACGCATGTTAGTGTATAAATTGCCAAATTGGTGTCAGTTGTAAAGTAATGGCATTGGAGGCATCATAAATTACTGTGGTGATCCTCAGGAGAAGACACTGCCGTATACGAACGAGTGTTTTGCTCTCAGGGTAATGTATGTCTTCATCTGGCCCAGTAGTCAGCATATTGCCCTACGCTGATGAATATAGTCRGCTTGAAACTACACTACATTTCACTGCACAATAAACATGCCTGTCAACACCATATAAAACAAGACCAATTTATCCTGTATGGTCAGTGCATTTTAAATGAAATTCGTGTACTGTGGACCTGGTGGCAAAAAAAAAAAGATAGTGTATTAGTTATGCATCCCCTGGTTTAGCACTTTTTTCATGTAGATGTTTCCTACACAGAAGAAAATAATATAATTAAGGTATAGCGTTTTCACTCTGAGTTAGGAAACATAGCTTTTGCACAGTAAAAACTTGTGAGTCGCTTGCTGAAGTCAGTAGGTCTGCAATATTTCACTGAATTTAAAGAACTAACCTTTTCTGAAAAAGAACTAGCCTGTATTTATAGCCAATGTCCCAATTTATATGTGCCCCAGTGGGCAATATTTTACCCAAATGTAGGCCTGTTGTGCTATTCCATTGTCCAATTAGTGAATCCATGGCTGTTTGGAGGGGCTCGTGGCAGACAGGGATTCAGGAGAGCACGGCAGGCACAGAGGAGACAAGTAAACTCGTCCCCCAGTTCCGAGGCTCCGGAGCGTGTGTATGGAGCTGCTGGAGGCGAGCGGTATTCTTATGGGTGTTTAATTGAACGCGTGTTTGATTGAATGCTCCCAGTCACAGATCCATCTCCATTTCAGCTAAAGCAAATGTGACTTCAAAATGTTCAGCAGCAAATGTAGCCAGATGCATTCAGCCAGCAGCCTGTACCTGAGTGTGCTGTATAATTTATTTTATGAAATAATGGCATGTGCTTTTTTGCTGAAGCAGTGCAGTCATTCAGCATTACTTGTGTGAACAGGTCGACATCAGCTTAGACTTTCAGGTGTAACTTTAATGTTGAGTTTTGTTGAAAGAACACCCAGGTAAGTTAAAATCCCCAATGAAACCTTTTCACATATCCATACCTTAACTGGAGAAACACCAATATGACTTGGTTTGTCATTCAGATGTTGCAGTACTGTCAGCACTGGCATTGCAGGCTCTCCTTTCTCTCCTCGCTCTCGGAGACCTGAGAGCAAAAAGAGAGGGAGCAGGAGAATGTGGCTAAAGTCAGAGCACGGAAAGCGCTCACGTAACGCACATAATAATGTTTTGCACCCATCTTGTTTCTTCCTGCCCTGACGCTCCAGGAAGTAAAGCAATGAATGGCTCTGCAGCCAAACTACAGCAGTATTATTGTTGGCCAACAGGAGGTGCCACTGTGGCTGAAGCTCGGGTCTACAGGGACTCGCGGGGCCGAGCCAGCAGCGAACCGCACATCAAGCGGCCAATGAACGCGTTCATGGTTTGGGCAAAGGACGAGCGTCGAAAAATTCTCCAAGCTTTCCCTGACATGCATAACTCCAACATTAGCAAAATCCTAGGTAAGTGCAAGGCAATGACTACCTTGTGACTGCCCTCAACCAAAACGGTGGGTGGCTTGGATGGCTCTGCCATAGGAGGGGCAGTTGGCAGAAGTTAGTTGATTCAGGACTCAATGAGATTATTTATATTGGTGACATGGGTTAGTAACATTCTTCTTGGAAAGTAGCTTTTTGGATCTTAAGACATATATTATGTTTGGGAGATTTTCACTTAAATCGGAATTACTGAGATTTAAACAAGTGAAGACACATGAGTTGTTTTTATTCCCTTACTTTTCCTTTACTGGCCCTTCCCTGACTCTGTTTATTTTCAACAGCAGACTAAAAAAATGCTTTCAGGATTTAGCAACATTCAAAAAAAAGATTGTTTAAATCTGTGGCAAGAGTGTAGCTTGATCCTAATTGCAAGATCACATTAGATATCATCTGGAGTCGAGAATGCAAAATTTGTGAGAGTTAAAACAGTGCTATCTGGAGTAATAACGCTCTATTGGGAAATATTTTAGTAAACCGCAAAATCAAAACGAAAGGTTTATATCAGACAGTACAATGTCAAACTGGTCTGATCAGGTAGCAAGTAATAGGACAATTTCAAGTAACAAACACATACGCCTGTACATAAACACACACATGCATATGTACTTTTCAAGATGTTAGGATATTAGAAAAGCTAAGCAAGCACTTAGTACTTGCATCATACATTCAAAATATTGCGTAATTAAAAAACACCATCATTATCTAATTGATATATACTGGGGTGATCAGGGATTATACCAGAACGTGTATTTTGCTGCTCTGCACGTAAATTGGCTCACTTTTTAGAAATTTTGCATTGCTTTTTGAGCCCCCCTCCAGAGAATTAGAAACATACGTGAGAATGAGCAGTGAAATGTTCAAATGAACATTTGCTTTCTGAGTCTTTGAAGTGAAAGACAGATTCTAAATGCAACTCGTAATAAATAAAAGTAAAATCTAAGTTTCATCTGTAATCATTTTACTGTAAATTTTGCATTTAAATACATTCTTATCAAAGGAGTTTCCAGAAATGGATTTGTTAGTTCGATTGAAGGCAAAAATACATAGAAATAAATGTTACTTTGTCCTAAAACTTTCAAAATCTCACTTAGTAGTTCTCATTTTTTTCTGCCATATAAGTAAGTTATATGAATAGCCTTTCAGTTTTGTATAAAACCTGCAGTGTTTCAGTGTTGGCAGCTGTAGGGAATCTATATTATTTGTGTGCATTCTGTGAAAAAACTATTAGGAGTATAGTAACTGTATTCATTAAAATGTAAACTTCCAGCATAAATATTTCAGAAGTGCCAGCAATTGAGTGTTTGTTAACCATGGAATTAACCTGTCAGTATCCACTCAGCCACAAATAAGTCTGTGTCCATATAATATCTGTGCAACTTTTCCAGGACAATGAGAAAAGAGTTTGAAATATTAGAACTGACACAGAATATTGCTGGCTGCGGGTAATATTTATACAACTTTTCCATTTGTTGATGTATGAAAAATCTTGGTAAAAGAATAGCTTCCACCCACGTTTACCACAGCTGTAATCGTTTTATCCATCTAAAAGACACCAAAAAGCTATGCTCTGCATTTCATATCCCCTGGAAAAAAACYTTCTTTATTCAAGTGTTTAGATAGCTCGTTATAAACAATACAAGCGATCTGAATACTTTTTCCTCTTCCTGTATACACTGTATTACTGTATTTTTTTTATTATTCCTTTTATTGGTGCAGCTTTCAGTGAAAGTTTACAATACCTAAAGTGGTGTGTATAATTAGAAATGTGCTTTCTGCTTTTCTTTCTCTCTTTTTTTTTAATATAACTTCAGTAAAATTAAGGAAGTCAAATATAATTTTCTAAGTGCTGTTCTGTACATTTATTGAATCTGGCTAGGAGATAATATACATAATAGGACTTAMGATCAGGTGGCAACACTATGCCAAGCTAAAATAAGGAGTAAATGCAAGACACCCAGATATGGAGTGATTTTTGGTAATTATGTTAAATCTCTAATGTTTCGATATTTTTTTTCCAGCTAAATAGCAAGATATTAATATCTTTTACTAGAAACATATAAACCAGGTCCTTATAAAACTACCACAGAAGCTTGTATCCCTAGGCAATGTGTTAAGCTCTTAAAAAAAAAAAATGTAGACCTTACTTAACCATAATATTATGTGTGCTAATACAAAGGTACAGAGTGCTCACAGATTAAAGCTCATATTATTAAAAATGAGGGAGCAATTCTGTCTTGTGGCATGAGGCTGCGTTTTTGAGAGCATCTATAGTTTTGTAAGTGCATTTTAAGGTAACAGAGAGCAATTTATGTTATTATGTTAGGTCTGCAGCAGTATCTGGAAGTCAAGTCTCTTTAACATGTCTCAAGTTGTGCATCCATATACAAGTGCTGGCTGATGTAAATTCAAATCGTCTCATTTAATTAACATATTTAAAATGTATTTATTATGGCAAGAAGGTGTGGTGGAATGCATATGTGTAAACGTGCTTTCCTTGAGTGCTCACTGATGTTTTGTGTTTACAGGATCTCGCTGGAAGTCCATGTCGAATCAAGAGAAACAACCTTACTATGAAGAGCAGGCACGRCTAAGTAAAATCCATCTAGAAAAGTACCCAAATTACAAATATAAACCCCGACCAAAACGTACCTGCATTGTCGATGGAAAGAAATTGCGCATTGGTGAATACAAACAACTGATGAGGTCTCGAAGACAGGAGATGAGGCAGTTTTTTACCGTAGGGTAAGTACTGTTGTTGTGATTGCTTTTAATGCATGACAGAGTCGGACAGTGCTGTTTGAAAACAGATAGACTTAGCTGTTTAAGTTGCTTACTAATGGCATTTAGAAGGTAAGGCTTTGAACCTGTAGAACCTTATTAAAAATGTAAGATATACAACTGAATATGGCACTGTCAGCTTTGCATTGAATGTTGAGTGTGAGATTGATTGCAGAAGTCCCTAATATCAAAAGCAGTTATTTTTCATTACTCTGGAAGGTTTTAATTATGCCTTTTGAATGTTAGTAGTAAGTCCATTCTGGATTAGTAATGACTTCAGGATCATTTTCTAAACTAAGACAAGAGCAAAAAGAACACAGCAGATTTTTCCAGTGAGAACAGAAAATCAGCAGAGGTGGAAAGGAAGGGAAAAGGAACGGGACAAAAGCAGTTAAATTAGGAACATACGTGAATGAATGATACCATATCATGAAGGTACTAGAATTTTGTTACATACAGAACTGTGGCATGAAATCTCCCCTTTTTTAAAGTACATTTTAGGAAGGGTAGCGCATAGATAGACTGGATAGATTTACACCTCAGAATGTATGGCACAGAGAGATGCAGAATAGTTTTAAACACATTGTGTGCTTTTAAACAGTATTTCTTCTAGCCTTCAGGAAAGAAAGCAGCACTGTGAACAATCTATAAGCTGAAGATAGAAAAGTACAGTGAAACAACTGTACCATAACTGATTTCTCTCTCCTGTTTTTTTTATGAGTTCATCTGTGATGCTCAGTGGTCTCACACAATGTTTTCGATGGTTTAAAAAGAGTCCAAGAGCTATCTCTGCTGCCAGCCCGTCCAAATTCACAATGTTCTGCTTATTTCTCTAATCACAATAGTCTCCTTTTGTTGGGTACTTTACTACCAGATAATTGACCTTGACATCGGTTATGTGCCCTCATTTTTGGCTTGGGATACAGAACTCCTGTTGCAGTCAATTATTTTGTGGTACAGCATGCAACAACATGAGTTCTTTCTTCAATCAGTAAGTAGAAGCATTTTTGATATCTTGGAATAGCCTTCCATTCTACAATTCAACATTGTTTTTTTTATTCTTCAGTCTAAGGGAATTGTTTGCTAATAGGCTTCCGTGGAAACTGTGTATAGAAACCCAAGGAGAAATCTGAATTTCTCAGCACAAATTATATTCAGATTGAGGGCATGAAACTCTAACTCTCATCTTCCAAAGCAGGTTGACAGATTAAATCATATCTACACAAGAAAATCCCTCCCCAAAAAAACAAACAGCAGTCTAGACAATTCAAGGTTTGTTTGCTAATTTAAAACAGTATTAAGCAGTAGCACTCTGTACATTGAAGACGTAAGCTGAATAGAGACCCGAATATGAAAGACAGATTTAAGAAGTCTAAAAGTGCCTACTTGATGAATTATGATATCATCCTCCCTTTTTTAAAATGTAATTAAAAGTATTTAAAATGAAACTGCTGGTGCAACCTAATTTCATGCATTTATCATACAACAAATAGTAAATAGTATCATCACAAAGACTATGCACTTGGTTCTAACTCATATTTATGCCAAGTCTGCTTTGCACTGTTCTACCCATGTTGAAGGAGCTTTAAAGTAAATTACATTTTCCTAGTTATATAGTAATGCAAAGGACTGTACTGGAAGTGCTGACTTTAATTACAGAATTAATAAAAAGGAGGGTGTGAAGTGTGCTGGATGGATACAGATAGGAGGAGATCCCTGTTGCAACTAAATGAGGATAGAAATTCTGATTTTGAGAAAATGCAGGTTGTGATTTCTAGAGATTATTTAATGCTTAAATACTTCTGTGTGACTTCTTATCATTGCCCCAAATTCTTCTTTCCTCTAAGCAAAACAATTCAGAGAGTTTTGTTTTAAGCAAAGAAAAAAACTTGAATTTGGRACAGCTTTTTGAACTGAAAGATAAAGCTTATATGGTATGTTTTATTTTATTAGTTTAGATTATTGAATAATAAAAAATAACTTCTTATCCAAATCAGATTATAATGAAGTGAAACACCATAACAGAACCCATTAACTTCTTAAACCTGGTCTTCCTGGTGTTAACCTTTGAATTGCACACAAAGTATCAGCTGGAACAGTTTACCCAGCTGACCTTGTGCACTCATCTTTTTTCCACTGTTTTGATGAAACAAACATCATAAACCTTCCTTCATAACTGTAGATGTAGGTTTCCTTTTGGAATGAAACAGGAGACAAATGTGATTTTTAGGATATTCTATGTTTAAAGCAAGCATTTCAGTAAAATAGAGAACAAAAGTACAAAATAGACTCCAATACAATCTGCCAAGTGCTTTGCCCTTAAAGGAGGTCTGTTTTTTTTTTTTTTTTTTAAACACATACCAAGTAGGTTGGGAATTTGTATGCTAAAATGGCAAAAAAAACCCACTCCAAAAAAAAAGCCCATCCTGCTGACCACAGTAAATAACATTTTTTACTAACTGTTGGTAACATCTAGTGAAGTTCTGTCAAATGGCCAGACTCTGTTCTTTTTTTTTAAGAGAAACCTCCAGGAAATTCAGAGAAGATTTCTTGGAATAAATTTGGCAAGAAATTCTTGGGTTTGCGATAAACCTTATATATGCAATAGACAGCAATAAAAATCTTAGTACTGCCAGTGTATTTTAAGGAACAGAGCGGAACTCAAAATCTGCATAGGCCCTCTGTTGCACCCTTACGTGAGTGAATTTTTTTCAAAATGAGGCCAATATTTATTAAAAAATTACTGGTTTAACTCCAGTGGGAATTCTAATTGAAGTCAACTATATCTTTAAAATATATGAGTTACTTTTAATAAAAAACTTAGTAAATTAATTCATTAAATGATTAAATGATAATATCTCAGCCCTTCAGTAGAAGGTAATCCTTAAAGAGTCTTCAAGTTATTTGTGATTTATCTTCAATTATACTTTTTTGTAATACATAAATAAATGTGAAGCAATAGATTACACATAAGCTGTAAATCAGAAATTTTAAATCAAAGTAGTCTATTTCTTGTTGCTTGTTAGCATTGTACTTGTTAGTCATTTTCACAGTCTAATACATAAACATAACTCTAATACGTAGACATAGTTTAATACATATTTCTCTACATAGAAGTATATGGTTTATATACATTTCTCTGCGAAGTGATGTAAGCAGCAACCCTTTTGTGTTTTATCCCTRTAAAATGTTTAAACTAAAGCCTTTATAGTGTTTATAACTACTGTATACGGCATGGTCTGACTGTTGCTAGATTACAGTTTTGACTGAAGCTGTAATATTATCCTGCTGCAGCTTGAACTTGAAGTAAGTACACAATGGGGGCTTTTGTGAGATTTACTGGTGCTTCAGTCCTTTTGGGAAGGTAGCTTGCAGGGCTCTGTAGCATAGAGGCATTTTCCTTAATGCAATCGATTTTGTTTCAGTCGCCTGAAGAGCTGTCAGGAAATAGTTCTGAAGGGATCAGAAAACAACGAGGATTTGCCAGTTTAAATGTTTAGCTCATTTTGCAAAAGTCACAAGTGGAAAATCCTAATAATACTGTTAAATTGTGAACAGGTCAATTGATTGAAGACTGTTCATGCTACCTCCTCTTTTATATTTACCTAACTATTTTCGGCCAAATCTTTGGCTTCAGAATAGATGGAGGTGTCAGCAGTGCTGGCAGAGCTGAGAGGTAAGGGAACGGCTGTAACTGGCCAGCTGTGGAATTCCCTGGCAAAGAGGAAGGGATTGCAAGGCCGGGTGCCTAGGTGTACAGCACCGTTCTTCACAGACCTGAAGAGAGGTGAGGAATTATGCAGGGTTCTGGAAAAAGGCAGAAGCCATCCTTGCATGGACACTGCAACCACACGCTGAACTGTAACCCAGAGCTCCCAAAGCATGTTTCTGTCTCCTCCTTCCAAAGTCCTGTAACAGGCAAAAATCTAGCCAGACTGGAGGATCAAGCATGTGAAATTGAATGTGATAAAAATATCATTAACATTAATGTTCTTTTAGGAAGAACTACAACTAAAAGAAAACAATAATGGCCAGAAATACAAGCTCCAGCTCTTCCATTGACTGAGTGTGGTTAGTCTTTAAATAAATGCTGTTTGATTTTTCCCCCCTCCCACTCCATTAAATTTTATATTGTAGAAAATGACAACACTCATGTCCAGTACCATATGCTAATCCATGGAGGTTGTAATGTCATAAAGTATGTCTTTCTGGGATATAAGGTTGGGATTTGAGCAGAATTTACAGTGACAACCTGATCATCCCTAAATAATAACAGAGCTCGGATGAGAAGTAGGTGCCGAGCTACTGAACGTGTGTGGGTGCCCCTGCCTAAGTGCTAGCAAATGTCCAGGTTCAAGATGAAGGTAGCAATTTGTGACACTGCCAGTTTAGGTGGTGCAGTTAATACATGTTTATAGTTCTTCTATGAGACATGGGTAATTTAAAGCTCACAGTACCTGCTCAGCAGCAAGCATTCACACCATGTTTGATTTTTGTTTACCATGTAAATAAGAACTGCATTTCTGAATGAAAAATGCAGTAAACCTTTAACTTAGCTGTTACAACAATCAATTTCTCTATTCTGCTTGCTAATTTATACTAGGACGGAATCTCAAGTAAAAGATATCTCTGAATTTATTCTGCTTTCTTAGAATCAGATTGTCTTTATACTTTAAGAAGTATAAGGTGGCACTCAGACAAATATATCCCTGCCTCCTGAAATGTGGATATGCAAAAAAAAAAAAAAAAAAAAAAAAAAAAGGTTTTGCTAACTGGACCAACATTTGCATATTGCTCAAATTTCTTAAACATATAACTATTTATCTGTCCTTTAGTGCTAAACTCTGACAAACCATGATATTGTAAAGAAACCTCTCATTTTAAACATATTTTTGCTGCATTTAGAAGTATTCTTCTAGAAAGGCAAGCATCTCAAAGGAAATTTTAGAGTTCTGATTCTTACTGTCTCTATAACACAACAGCAGCTTACATTCAATAATTCTGAATATTGTCAAAATCTCTTACTAGAAGAGAACTGGAAGTTATTTTTTAAAACAACTCTTCTCAAAACAATTTTTATGTTATGAAGTTTTTTGATGCAGGCTTGATAGTCCTTTGTATTGTAAATGTATTTTAAGAAATACCAGAAAAAGATTAGCATCAGCAGTTGTTGGATGCATAAATTAGAATTAGCTGTGTGTGGCTTCACAACATCTAGAATTTTTCTGTGACCACATGTGGGTTTCTTTTTACTTTGCTTTGTGGAAACAGTAATTAATGTGAACACTTTCCTGTGTCTAAGAGTTTGGACAGGAGGTACCTGTGGGTTTTTAACAGTAGTAGCTTATGTGCTTGACAACATCCAATCATAAAATAGAAACATTCCCATGTGAGGTAGGTGTTTGGTTTTATGAATAAAGTATTGAAAGATGTTCACAGCAAATACATTGGCTGAAAAGCATTTTCACAGAACATTTATGAAATCATTTAAAAAGCGAAAATTTAGTGAAAAATCCCTAGCTATTTGTAAATCATCTGTAAATCGTCCTTTGCAAACAGGAGTATGATGACTGTGTCAAATGAATTATCACAATGTTTTTGCTCACTGCTGGCCAGGTGTGCCATACTCCTGCAGCAGATGTTTCGTTTTTATAAACTGCACAGAGACTTTAAAAATAGGGCTACCAGCACCAGCAGTAGTGCAGGATGCTGCTGGAATATTAGCAGACAGTGTTCATGATTTGACTATCTCATGTCATTCTAAACTTGAAGAACTTTGGATTTCTGGTAACTCTGTGATATGATATTTATCAGGATTTGGTCAATGAGCAATTAGGACTCAAAACTTTGGGTCTTACAAACAAACTTTACATATTTTGCTTATTGATTCAGTTGGTGATACATAATAAGAATGATAAGAACTGCCATTAATGTACTTAGTGAGCAAGTGCTTTATGGAAAGCACATTTTTCTATTCTTTCATATACTGGATACAAAAATACAGTGGCCAAAAAGTTAGAGATTCGTTAGACTATTTAAGCACATCTGACCCAAATTCTCTTGCTAAAATTATGATTGAATGATCTGTACTTGGTCAATATTGACCTAAAAAAAGCTTAGGAATATATTGAAATACATGGTTCTTTAAATGAATTAGGAAAATAGGCATCTATGTCCAATATCAATAACATAACAGTGTCTTGCAGGGCACTTTGATTTTTCTTTTACTGAAGCACACACATTTAGTGTAACATCTAAAATATAATAGAGATCCCCTTCCTTCAGGCAAGTTCTCTCTTTTATTTTTTCCCCTCTTAATTTAGTTAATAAGTGATGATCCAGAAGTAATATGAGAATATTTGAGATAGCATTTTTAAGATGAGAAGTAGGTTATTAGTTAATCAATTTAAATATAAGAAATACATTTAGTTAATTAATAGTTGATAAGGACTTGACCATGGAAAGGGTTCAGTGACCTGACCTTTACTCAACAAAGCAGTTAAATGTATATATTAATTGTAAGAAGAAACATTGTGTCATTTACAACAGTTGAACTAGGCAAATTTTTGTAATAAAGTTTGTGCTAAATTCCCTGGCTGTGATATAGGAGGTTTCTGTTTGAAGTGTGAGATTGCTCAAATCTCACAATCCCAAACAATTAAAAAAAAAAAGGACATTGTGATGCAGATTTAGATATCAGAAGATGAATTGTGCCAAAAGCAGAGGCAGTGTCCCCCAGCTCCTCAGCAGCTATTAATTCTTGTAGGCTCAGTCCTACAAGACGGGACATTTTTTCATCTTTTTTTGTTTTCGTAAATACTTGGCTTCAGAAGCTATCCTAACTCATTAAATCCTGAAGAAGAAACAGCATTCTGATTGTGGATTTAAAGGCCAGCAGTAACATTTAAGAAGTATTCTGAAGTGGTGTAGGAGTCTACCCAGCACTTCCACAGTAAATGACATGCTTATAGATAGATGGAGACGCAAAGTTCCTTAGACACTCCTCTACTTTTTAGGTGCTTATAAATAATCTCAAGGTCCCCTTACTAACAGCCGTGAAACAGAAGCTCCTGTCAAGAGTTTTGAAGATCTAAATTTAGGAGTTAGTTGTCAATGGTGGCTGTTAAGCAACTCATTTATGCCTGAGGCATTTGGAGGATCTCTGTCCAAGTGCTAGTTTGCAGTATGCTTTAAATAGGTGCATAAAATACGCAAAAGCATCAAAAGGTTTAATCTTCGGAGTTACTGAAAAGTAACTGTCTCCAGTTGTCCTTGGGAGGAGCTGAAGCCCGCCAGTGTTTTGCAGGACCAACACGTGAGCCTCCGAGAACAGAGGCAGAGCTCTTAGGAGAATCGCACGCTTTGCTTTGCTTTGGACTTGCAAAGGGCTTCGTGCCTCCAAACGAGGGTGATCATGTCCCTGTCTTGTTCTACCTTTCAGACAACAGCCTCAAATTCCAATCACCACAGGAACGGGTGTTGTCTACCCTGGTGCTATTACCATGGCAACTACCACGCCGTCACCTCAGATGACATCCGACTGCTCTAGCACCTCTGCCAGCCCTGAGCCCAGCATCCCTGTCATTCAGAGCACTTACGGTATGAAGACGGACAGCGGAAGCCTTGCTGGAAATGAAATGATAAACGGAGAGGATGAAATAGAAATGTACGAGGACTATGAGGATGATCCCAAATCAGACTATAGCAGTGAAAACGAAGCCCATGAGGCAGTCAGTGCCAACTGAGGAGTGTTCACAGAATTAAATACTCAGACTCATTTGTTTTTTTGGGTTTTTTTTTTGAACAAAAAGTTCTTAAAGAGCCTGCATGCATGTGTGGCTCCTACAGTTACATCAGCAGAATGGTCTTAAATGTTTCTTAAAGTGTGAGACAGATTGTTTCCCTAATTTTTCATGAACTTGGGTTTTTGTTTTTGTTTTTTTTTTAATTTAGATGAAGACATATATTAAATATCAGACATCAGACTTGAAAACTTATATGAATCAATAGCTGTCTTACAAGTCTTACCTTTTGTCTTTTTCCTTTTGGATGCTGATAAAGGTTTAAGTTACTGTTCTAGATGGGGGTTTTACATTCTCACTCAGGTATGCTGTGCCAGCCTACAGGTTGTGAATGTGTTTTTATTCTGGATTATTTTAGAAAACAAAAACTGCAGATTTCATATTGTAAAACAGAACAAGTCCACAAGTGTGCACATCTGTGCATCATAGCTCATCTTTAAAAAGTAGTCTCTCAATTCCATTTTTTTTTCCATATGTATAGCTGAACTTCTAATGTGCCAAACTTTTCATAACTTTTCAATCTTAACATTTAAAAAAAGTCTTAAAGGAGACACTGTAAAGTCTTAGACAATCCTTTGGCATCTTAAAAAAATATATTAAAAAAAAATCTTTTCCAGAAAATGGTAAAGTACTCAGGAATCTGGAGACAGGATATTCTTAAGTAGTGAACATGGTTGCCATAGTGCATGTGCCCACTTGCTTTTGCCTCTTGATGTGCCATTAGTGTGAAACTTCCGGTAAGCACAAAAGAGCGATCACCAGCTATGGACGGGCCTGTCTTAGCAGTGTGAGGCCACCTTTGACTACATTCTCTACCCCTTTGCTTTTAACCCTTGCATTCAGTCTTAACACATTTTCTCTTAAATAATTTATTCATTCCAGAATGTCAAGGGTCCAAATACTTAATATTTATTTTTAAAAGTACTGTTGGTGGCATTACACTTAAAATTCCTTATTGATGTTTTAAAGAGCCATTTCTTTTTCTTCCCCCAGAATACACAGGTATACGAAAGTGAAAGTGCACCTGCTACTAACTTATGAATGGGAAATTCAGTTGTTGCCATAACAATATTCATTCAGGGAGCACTTGGACACACTCTGCTATATGTAATGCAAAGGAAAGTGAGTACTTCTATATGTACATACAGTGCAAATACTCCTTTAAAAAGTGTGTTTATAGTTAAAAACTTCTATTCTTAGAATCTGCAGATACGGGCAAACAGGATGATGTAAAGGTTGGATTTTACCTATCYGCCACGGGGAGATGTAAAATCCAAACCACATATAGAGTCTGCCATGAATTTTTAGGGCCTATCCAACCCTGCAGTGGGTTCAGGCTCTGTGCATCGCTGTTCCTGTTGTCACCTGCTGGACCTCTCTGCTCCCAGGAGTGTATTTCTGCAGTGATTGTATGTGAGACTCCTCGTGGGGGAGGGCAGGCCACACAAATGTCTGACTTGCAAAGCTGGGAGAAAAGGTCATCAAAATATTTATTGAATATTAGTTATAAGGGAATGGGAGCCACATCTTGATGAATGTTTGTCAAATGCTTTGGGGTTGTTGGATGAAAGGTGCTATAGAACTAAAATTCGTATTTGTATTACTACTATAAAAATACAACTGCTAGAGAAAATTTTGGGAAAGATATATAGAGAAATATTAAAAGTTGGAAGATTTATTACTTTTCAGAGAGAGAAAAGAAATCACCATTACTTTTTCCCCTCTCACTCCACTTCTGTTATTCACACGCACATCACTGTACGTAATATGTGGATGCAGTGGGCCTGGTGAATCGGGTGCCCGCCCACCTCAGCTCCCTTAGATTTTGCTTGGGCTGGGCGTACTCAGCACACAGGTGGCAAATTTGGGCTGACAGCTATGAGCGAGCCCAGCGCAGTTCCTTTCCCAGTCCAGAGCAATGTTCCCATGGAGCGAAATGAGCTCTGGGGAGGGCCCAGGCAGTGAAGAAGTGTAGCGTTAATGCTGATTCTGCCTGTGCTATCCCCCTACCTTGCAGAAACGCAGCAAGATGTAGCGATGAGTTGCTGTGTCAGGAGCTGCCGTTTTCCTCCTAGCCCCAATAATACCTATTTGAGCGGAGACAGCCGGTGTTGCCACTGTAGGAATTGCATTTAAATGTGCAAACACAACCCCCCAAAACAAACAAGATTGTTCAGTTTACAGGACAATTTATAAAGATAATGACATAGAAACACAATGGTCAAATTTCTGTGGCCATTTTGTAATTTGGAACAAAATGCTATATTTTTAATATTTATTTAAATGTGTTCTGAGTCCATGTCTAGTAAGCAATAAACTGGTCTAGCCAAGACTTTAAAGGCAAATGCTGTGTTGTTAGCTGGTGAGCGCCCTCTTTAAGCTGGCTAAGGTACTGATAGAAGGTGTTTTTTTGTTCTTAAAATTGCTTGGGGTTTTCAGCTGTTTTTAATACATTCAGCTCAGACTGGGGGGAGGGTACCGTTATTTCCTTAAAAATGACTATTTATTAATGTCTTACATAATTCTCCAGTTAGTAATATCTCTCCCTCTCCCCATGCCACTTTCTCTCTTGCTCTCTTTTTTTTCTGGTTTGTTGCATAGGTAGAATGCTGTACTGCTAGCATTGTATTTTATGTAATTTTTTTTTTGCACAAAGGCAAACATTTAGATTAGTTGGTTAATTTTTTAAAAAATTTTATGACCATGCCAAAATAATATTCTGCAGGCTTGTGGAGAACAAAGGACTGTTCTTTAGGACTGAAACTTGATTTTGCTTGTAGTACAAAAAACACACACTCACAGATGTTGTTTCGTAAGTGTTATAAGCACTGGATATAAATGGTATTTTTTATCACTTCTGACTAATGTGAAACTGTTGTACGAAAACTACATGAACAAAAGTCATCTGTTTCGACTCGTGTGGGCCTGCCTCACAGTTGCCGGATTTGAGTCATTTTTATGTCTTGTTATTTCATTTATTTATGCAAAATACATGTATGTATGAACACTTTGTTTTAGCTCCAGCCCTGCCTCAGTGCTGATGCTCTGTACGTTAAAGCCACGCTCTTGGAAATGATTGGCGCGTCAGGAATCGCCAGCTGGTAAAAAAATACATTTATTGGCTGGGGGAGTGGGAGGAACATATTTGAATTTGAATTGTGCATATGAGCATTTTATTCTATTTATTAGCCGACATTGGCTCTAAAATGTCAGTGGAAATCAATGAAGGACAATCATAAGGAAAAACAACATTTTTTATTAATCGGAGCTCAAAACAAAGTTTTTGATGAATTTACCATCTCATTTTAGATTTTTTTTAATTGTGTAAATATAACATAGGAAATAGAATTTTATTTTTTGTTCATGGATACTTAGTGAAGTATAAGTTATGTATTTACTTTTGTTCTATATCAGTGTATGTTGGTCCATATTAAATGCTGACAAGTCACTGTACCTCATGTAGATGCTGAATTTACACCCGCAGTGTGAGCGCAGTATTGTGGACTTGTAGCTGGGACAGCAAGACGCCTCACTTGTGCTCTCACTGAATCTYAATAGCATATTCCTCAAGCATGGAATACTTTTTCCTTTTTCCTTAGAAAGCCGATACATCAAATGTACCAAATTTCTGATACAGCTAATAGGAAACACAATTCGTTTTGTGAATCCAAGCAAACCTGATGAAATCTTTTGGCTCTCAACAAGAATAGCATTTTGAAGTCATAACTGTATTCCTGGAAACATTATCATGATTAATGTAGCCCTTGCAATGAGTCAACATCTAATAACATTGAACATTTATTTTCTGCATTCATTGAATCATGATATTGTCATATTAGGGTGTAATACCAGGGGAARAAGTTCACACCATACACAAAGAGGACTTGTGGAATTGTTCTTTAGACATTGTATTTGAGTCCCCCCAAATACCGCAGARAAGCATAACAGCTCCATTCAGGTAATACACAAATATAGTAATAATATTTTCTCTGTGAACAATTTATTTAATTAACAGATACAATATATTTTCTTTTGGGAAAATTTTAAAGTACTTATTTCAAAGAGAAGAACACTCCCGAAAGTCTGATACTAGCTAGAATAGATCACTTAATATTTCATAAAAATGAAAGGTTCAAGTCTTATGGAAACAGAACTGCTTCCCAGGGTTGAGCTTTGCACAGAGAATTGACTCCAATGAAGCGGCCAAAGTGTGATCGGCCTGTGCATTATGGTGTCACTGTTCGGCTTCTGAAACCAGCTGCTCGAAATACACGGGCTCCTCCCCATGTGCTCCCAAATCAGTGCCCTCAGGTGTGGCAAGATGCAGGGGGACGGCGAAAGATGGGTTTGCTCTGGGTAGGGAATGCAAAACAAATAGCTGTGTGGGTCCCAGGAAATACTGCGGCCGCTGTACAGAGTGTTGCAGTCCCTGCTGGCAGCAGGAACAACCATCTCCCAGTGCCATCTAAAACYGTCCTCCCCTCCCTGGGTTGCCCTTGTGCTTCTGCTTTGTGCTCATATCAAATATGTTACGAAATAATTTCCTCATAAAACATCCTGCAAGATTAATCCTCTCTTGCCCCTGCCGCCCTCAGTAAGGCGCCCTGTTTACCAGCTTAATTTCAAGTGTGTCAGTACTTCCATGGCAGTGCTTAGGAGCGGGGCAGTCTCCGCTGAGCCAGGGGCACCTGTGAACAGCAGTGGGCAGAGCGCGGCCAAGCTCCCCTTGGTGTTTCCTGTGAAAGGCTGGTGATGGGCTCAGGCCCCAGGTGTTCTGCATGCTTGTGTGGGGTTCAAGGTGGCACTTAAACATGTTCTTGTAAAAGAATAATGCTATACGACCTCATGGGATCCTTTACAAAACACTTAAAACACACTCTCTTCCTTTTTAAAAAAGAAAAACCCCAAACTTTTTTTTTCTCCGATCAAACTACATTTTTGATATATTGTAATGTACCATTACAGAAGAAAAAAGATATATGTATATGCAAATATATTTCATTTTAATCCATTACCCTTTTTTAACTACCAGATTTGTTAGAGATGGTGACAAAGATGTATTCTGAGATTTCACACACTGGGTAAAAAGGGGTAGGGTGGGGTGAACTGGGCTAAAGAAAAACTTATCAAATTGGTATTTATGGCAATATGAAAGCTATAAAGCAACTTAGTGACATGGCTCGCTTTGTAATTTCCGCTTTCTAAAAACCACAAGTGAGGTCCTTGGTGCTCTTGGAGTATGGGGAATGTGCAAATATTTAACTGTTTGTATGCTGCACATTGCAGACCTGCTAGTGTGCATTCTCCGTTTGTCTTCCTTTGTCATTTGT